CTTCGTCTCCTCGGAAAGGAAGCTGCCGCTTCAATGCTTTCCCTGGTAGTGGTGGAACTACAATCTTACTATCTCGTTCCAGTTCATTTTTCAGCCACTCAAAATCACTGTAGCGTCGCCGTACACAAGATTCCTTCAGTTTAAAGATAGGTAGGTTTGTCCTCATCCGAGCCTCATAGGTGGTGAAGCGCGCGCGGCCCATGCCCACAGTCTGTGGATTAAAGATGTCGATCTCCAGGAAGTTACTTGGTGGCCCATAAGCGTCGGTCAGGTCCTGCGGCTTCGAGTTAAGGTGCCGAGTGTCAGCTACTGCCGTATCCGACATCTTTCCGAAACAGAGTCCCAAAATAGTTTTTAATTTGTGAATTTCTCCTTTTGAAAAGGAATATTAGTGCTTTGTTGTTGGATTTCATCAAGTCAACTCCAAACGGTAGTGACCGATGAGCAATGTTCCACAACTTTGCCGTGTCCTGTGTCGTCCTTACAGTCTATGCCATGCTCAAGTCCATTGTCGCAGCCATGGTGTCGATGTGCCTTGTTGAGGATCTCCCTGTCCTCCACGAATCTTCTACTCTTCCAAGCTTTAATGCCTTTTTTGAAGTACATATGTTTATTACCCATAAATAAGGGGTCTCATTTCTTATTGAAAACAGCATCTGACTATGTTCTCACAGCTATTGTATGAGATCGTAGGGACAAATTACAAACAGCAGGATCATCGTGATACATTCTTGTTATTTGTCACACCAGATCTGTTTACACCAGGGTTCTCATTAGGAAGCCTTGGTGAAAACTAAACACAGTACAGATTTAAGATTTCATGACATTTGTGTCAGGTTGCGTGGGACGTAAGCCAAGTAGAATAACTGATAGTATAGCAAGTGCTTGAATAGTGACATGAGTCCGAACTCAAGTTAGGAATTGAAAGGAGCCCAGGTACAAATGTTGTTCTTGATTGTTACCTGGCTGATTTTCAACTCAGAGTGGCCCATGTCACCAAGTAGAATTGTCTCATCGGGTTTTCTACATGGTAATTATTACATGGTCCGGCCAATAAACTTTTCTTCCATGGAACTTTGGGGTGCATTTGAACCTCCAAGCCTTCGGCTAAAAACCCAAGTACTTAATCATTGTGCCAACCGGAGTCCTGAACTGCAGTGTAAACACTTAGCTGGAGAGCTTTCTCTTGGATCAGTGACAGCTGTATAGTGATGGAGTTCAAATCTCCTGATGTAGCCCTACCTCACTTACCATAAAAATGAAAGCAAGGAAGGGAAGAGAGGAAGAAAGAGCTACCTTCTCCTTGAACCTTTCTGAGTAAATACTGCCAGAAAGCAATCGTGTTAATGGCAGGATATGAAAGAGAGTGGAAGAAACAATCCCAGCCACAAGGAGTGCGAATAGCATGGGCCAGAGAATGGGAAAAGGCTGTTTTTGACTTGTGACTTCAAGTGTTTGTGTGGAATCGCCCAGACACAGTCCTGTGTAGAGAAGAACAGAACCTAAGATTTTCCTCCAAAGTACTGTTCGACAGTTTGCTGGTTCCACTTTGTTTCTTTTTCTACTTGGACTTCAGGGAACCTATAACACCTGCGATATCTTATCCCAAAGAATATCTCGTCTTATGTTGGACACTTGCTGATTAGTTTTAACTCCTTGATGTCTCTCCGCCAAGGTTGACTCTATCTGTGTAAGGACTTTCCCAGGCTACGGGATGTGGAGGCAGTACTCCAGGGAATCTGATAAGAGGAGGTACACAAGGCACATTGTTACGTGATTTCTTGCTACCCTGATCATCACGTTCATTTGACATCACAAGCCTTGGTGCTTTGATTGTGCCCAGCAGCTGGGAAGCCTCTTTGTGTCCCACTCCTGCTGTTGCTTGTAGTCAAGAGAGGGAACTGGATTGACTTGTGTTGGGTTTGAATTGTGTGCCTCTGAAATATGCGTTATAGATCTAACCATTATACTTACATTTTTAGGGATAGAATGCATTAATGAAAGAGACATAAGTAGTGGAGGGCATGTCTAAATCTAGCTGAAGATACAGAATGAGCTACGTGAGCAAACAAGCAATCAGAGATGGCGAACAATGTATGCTGTGCACCTGGGATCTCCAGAGAACCAGGAAACAGTCTGAGAGACAATTATCTTCCTCAGAGATGAGAAAGCCTGCCCCTAGCGATGACATGACAGTGCCTTGAATTAGACTTCTAGCCTCTTACACTCAGAAATAAATTTCTGTTAGTTAAAGGCACCCTCTTGAGGTATTTATGTTAGAGCAGCACTAGATAACTAAGACAGACAGACAGTGTGATTATCTTCCACTTTTGCAATGGTCCACACTGGCAATATAATCCAGTTTATTTTTTTACATTATATATATATATACATACATATATATGTGTGTGTGTGTGTGTGTGTGTGTGTGTGTGTATTATACTTTATTAATTAAAGCTAAAGAAGGTTAAGTCATACCCAAAGGAATGAAAATTGCATCTTAGGTCTATCCCCCCGAATTTAAAACCCAACTCAGGAATAGGTTTGAGGGCTTGAACATTAAAGACCAGCTGAGCTGTGAGAAGATATCAAGAATATTGTTCATGAAGAATGCAAAAAGTCATTACAAATAAGGAAGAAGAAGAAGATAGCCCCCAAAGTGGCTATCAGCAAAGACTGAATATTGTTCTAGAGCATCAAGAAGCCAAAGCAAAGGGAAGAAATCAAGAAGTTAAGGAGCTGAAGAGAATATTTCAAAGGGCTGCTCAGAAAGATATGGCAAAGTATTATAATGAATTGTACAAGGAGCTGTAGTCAGAAAATCAAAAGGGCTGAACTCATTCATCATTTTTTAAGCTGAAGGAACTGAAGAACAAATTCAAGTTGTGAGTTGCAATGCTTAAGAATGCTATGGGCAGAATATTGAATGATTCAAGAAACATCAAAAGAAGATGGAAGGAATATACAGAGTCATTGTACCAAAAAGAAGTGGCTGACACAGAAGAATTTCAAGAAACAACATATGATCAAAAGGCAGTGGTGATGGAGAAAGTTCAGGCTGCTCTGAAGGACTTGGCAAAAAATAAAGCTCCAGGAATTGATGGAATACCAATTGACATAGTTCAACAAACAGATGCTGCCCTGGATGTACTCACCAATTTGTGCTAAGAAATCTGGAGGACAACTACTTAGTCAACTGACTGGAAGAGATCCAATATGGATTTATTCTTATTCCCAAAAAAGCTGACCTACAGCGTGTGAAAATTATCACCAGTCTCACTAATATCACACACTAGCAAAATCCTATTGAAGATCATCTAGAAATGACTGGAACAGTACATTGACAAAGAACTGCCAGAAATACAAGCTGGATTTAGAAGGCACTGTGGCACTAGAGACATTATTGCCAATGTCAGATGGATCTTGGCTGTAAGTAGGGGGTACCAGAAGAGTATCTATCTGTGTTTCATTGACTATGCAAAGGCATTTGACTGTGTGGATTACAACGAATTGTGGATAGCCTTGAGGAAAATGAGAATCCCAGAACACTTGATTTTGCTTATGCAAAACCTATACTTGGACCATGAAGCAGTCCTCAGAACAGAGCAAGGAAACACTGCATGATTCAAAATTAAGAAAGGAGTGTGTCAGGGATGCATTCTGTCTCCATACCTTTTCAATCTATATGCAGAACAGATCATTTGGAAAGCAAGGCTTTATGAGGAAGAATGTGACATCATGACACCAGGATTGGAGGTAGACTCATCAACAACCTACATTATGCAGATGACACAACCTACTTGCTGAAAGTGAAGAAGACCTGAAGCACTTGCTGCTCAAGATCAAAGAAGCTTAATATCAAGAAGACAAAGATTCTCATCTCTGGGCCAATTGACAACACCATGATAGATAGAAAAGAGATTGAGGTTCTTAACAATTATAGCTTGCTCAACAACTCTGGCTGTAGGTGTGTAACATTTTTTATTTCCAGACTGCTCATGCTAATAGTGTTGACAAATTTCTCTGGGAAAATCTGCTGTTAGGGACTTATCTAGGGTGTTCTGATTCATGACAAAATCAGGTGTATCAAAGGAGCTCTAGTGGTTTAGTGGTAAGGAAGTGTCTTGCACAAATGTATACAGTTGGAATCCACTAGATGCTCTGGGAGAGAAAGATGGGCAGTCTTCTTTGAGAGTTAACAGTTTAGTCACTACTTTTGACCAACCCTGTATTCTAAGAGCATCAATTCTTGGGGGTTTTGGTTTTGTGTATTCTCTAATTCACCATCAGAACCCCCTTGACAAATCCCAATTGGTTAATTGGGAAGGCTTCATCTTGCAGTCCGTAATTATGCCCAGACTTAATGGGATGAAGGGACAAGGGCAGTGGAGCTGGGTAGTGGATTGAGGGCAGTGCCTGGTAGCAGTGAACAGGTCCTCAAAGTTTATGCATTCTTGGTGGTGTCAACATTTATTGCTTGTTTCACTGGAAACCATGTGAAATCAAGTTTTTTTAAAAAATCTAAACATCTTTTGTGCCTGCTTAGAAAATACTGATTTTTCGGGGATGGGCATGTCCAGTTGTAATGTTTTCAATTATAGACTGACTGGAGCCAGGAAATTGTCAACTGCTCCAAGTATTTCCTTTCTCTCCTTTTCTGCTTGCTTTCTTCTAGGTTGCTACTTCACCTCTTTCTCTCTTCCTGTCTTAACAAAAAAAAAAATTCTTGAGACATTCTTTAAGAGACTGATCAAGGTTCTATGAGTTAGATGGAAAAAATGGTTTCGAGTTAGGGGTGACTGCTGTTATATTTTTCTCCAGATTCCATGGCTAATCCTCACGTCTTGGCCAGCTAACTATAGAATTCCCTCTATTGTAGTACAGACAGTATTTATAACCTATCTTCAGGAATGTGGAAATGCGCACAAGATCTATAAATTCCTTTAGTGCTTCCAGATTGTAGCAGAGACATCGCAGTGCAGTTCTAGGGACAGATTCTGCACCTGCATGTGTCAGCTTTGAAGCACAAATTGCCTGCACTCAGCAGCTCTCCGAGTCCAATGTGACCCTGGAAACTTCTAGCAGACTCCGTCTTCAGGTTAGCCCTCTCTTTGCTATCCCTTCCAGCCCTGTGCTGATTCCATTCAGATTTTATTAAGTTTGACCTCATTCTGTTACGCAATAGGCTGTAGTTGTTGACAATTCCTATTTTCTGTGCTGTGATTTTTATAGTCCTAGTTTTATTAAGCAATCCTGGAATCCAGGCTCCTGGGAATTAATTCTTTTTTTTAAAAAAAAAAAAGTTTTTAGGCAACACTGGGAGAG